TTTGTAACTCAATACTTTTGTTTTCCTTGCAAAGGTATGTAACATGAAACTCTTGTTTTCTCCAAAATACACATAAATGAAAGAAAGTTAAATTTCTGACGAAGAAATGGAAGAGAAACAATTTTGAATTTTCTTGAAACGCAAATGTTCTTAATACCAATGAACAAGAACTAATTTAATTATCAGATAGTTGTGGAATACTTTTTCTTTTTCTGTTGCCACCTTTGTTGTTAACAATAAACAATTCAAAATTAATACACAACAACATTGACAGATACAACTGAGAAACATTTCAACAAGAAGTATTGAAGGTAAACAGTGCTACTTGGCTGACATTATCCTGTGTCGGTGAATGAGTCTCCTCAAAGACTGATTAAATTAATTTGTGCTTTCATTAAGTGCCACTGAGTCTGCAATAATAATTATTTGAGCACTTTCCTAGTTTCTTTTGTCACAAACTTACAATTTGCAGAATATTAAAGCCACTAAATTGGGAACTTTTTGGTCTCTCTTACAGATGCAATTATGGCAAGAAATAAACTAGCCACTAAGGAGAAGCTTTACATTTTCCTTCATTATTTACACCCTGACAAACATACTATTGCAGTTTGAAGACAGCAGATGATATTTTTTGAACCGACCTGTGGGTAATTCTAAAAGATACATTTCATTTTTACCCTAAAAAGGGACAAGTGGCCCTACCTTACATATAAAAATAGGTCCGCAATGCGAACTTGTGTGGGATTTCAGTCAAATAAGAGTTGATGCACTGTGGATGAATCAGAGGAATTGTAGCTTTACAGTGAATATTTATACATTTTGTCATTTTGTAGTGATGCTCGTCAAGTAAAGATATTGTAGAGTCCTGGTTATAAGATCCCAAGCTGCAGACGAAAAAACGGTTACATGAGAAATATGTTTGGACTNTCCAAGGTGTTACGAGCAAATCACGTTTCTCCGTTTGTCATTAATATGTCACCGAAAAGGAAAAATGGTTTTCCTCCGTGTGCCATTTTTGTTACCTTGGCAAAATCCCGTGTAACCATTGTTTCACAACATATACTAAAATCCAGCAAAAAACAAACAAACAAACAAACAAAAACAAAAGTCAGCAGATATATATATAGCCCCAAGTCATTAGGGAGAGAGGGGGGTCATTGAAAGAGTCATTAAAGTAAACACATTTTGCAGGTAAGGCTTCTTTTTCGCAGCAGGGGTGAAAACAAATGACATCATCGAAAAGCAATGCACATGAGAAGGTTTAGTTTTTGATTGTGATTCTGGACCATGCAATCAACAATAACATGGCCTGTTTTGTCGGGATGCCAGATGACATGCTACATAACTGGTTGCAGGGAGTTTGTTTACAATAAAACAGCTCCGATCCACAAACACAACTTTTGAATCGCGTTGGCTTGGGGATGTTTACTGTGGGAACAGCCTTATTTTATGGGCTACATTTGTCCTGGGATGTGTTGATTAGTTCCAGTGGAGACAAATAGTTCAGTTAGTCTCAGCTCTTACACAGACGCTCCCCTGCCCCCACCTTAATGCACATGGAACGGCATCAGAAATGTTGTCTACTTTTATTCATCAGCGGAAATATTAGAATCGGTCGCTGGTTGCAGGGAGTTTGTTTACAATAAATCAGCTCCGATTGCAAATGTCAGCTAATATTCGTGCTTCCAGCTGAGAAAACTGTACATAAATTATACTTTTACAAATTAGCTTTTGTGCTAACATGACTAGAAAATGTTTAGCATGAAGTTTGAAGGCAAATGCAAATATTTAGTCCTTTTAAACTTGTGAGTCTAAGGAAACTGCACCGTCACGTAACGTATCAAGAAATCATGGTCTATCAGTTGAGAGGACCTCAACTTGCTAACCATAAATGCACAGGGAAACACTGGGCTTTGTCATTATGTTATATCTGTCCGTAAAACTTCAGTTGTTGATATAAAAAATGCTGACTTCAGCAATAGACGGGAGTTGAAAGTAATGAAAACAATCAAGCGTAACTTTTCTTCCGACAGTTGTAGACTATGCAGCGTGACATGCACAATGTTTACTAGAGCATATGACTAGAATTTCATTTCAGCAGAAATTGTCGGGATTTTCATCTGATCGAAGGAATTTCAATGTGACATAATTTAAATATGTAATTTCAGAATGTTCTGTCTGAGAACTGGAACTTCGTATGATTGTTGTATGACTGACTGATTGTTCCTTATTCATCCAAGAATTTTGCGCATACAGAGAAAGCGAATGTTTACCCACCTTATAATAAATGGCGCGTCAACAATAAATACGGCAGCGAGTGTCTGAAAAACACAACGACCTAAGGCCTAACACTCCCTCCAAGTCTCAAAAACAAGTCAAAATTTGCCAAAAACCAACACCCCCTAAGAGTAATCACACTAATGGCTGCCGCACAAAAACACTCAACCTTTTGCCAGAGGAACCCAGTCTACACACCAAGTAGAAACCATGTGACAAATGCTTTGCTCTCATGGACAAATAAATAAATAAATAAATATCGCTGGCGTTGACAAAGTGTGGGAAATCCCACACAAAAAACCGTGTGGAAACATATTAGTGTATAACACTAAGGATGCTAGAACCCATGCCTCTTACATGTTGGGTTCTACCATAAGGAAACCCACTCAACATTTGTGTGTGATTCTGTATGAAACGTATCCTCCACCTAATATATAAGACCCGAACGCTACCTAGTCTGCATAATTATGCATTTAGAGCAAATTGGGTTTGTTGTAAAGAGAATACTGTAGTACCACAAGGAGAGCAAGGGGTTACTTGGAACAAATATATAGCCTTGCAATGTTCACACTTAACTGACATAGTCGGAACATGTTTTACGTAGGGTACACATGTACCTTTCCCATGCCACACCCACCACTTCCTTACCTGTAGAC